CTAGCAGAAGGCAGAGCACTTATCTCAGTTACAGAAGGAACATAACAAGGATTGAAACAAAAATGACATTTCAAAGTTATACTGGACCATATAATCAAGGGAAAAGATCAGTGGCATGTTAGATAAATCATTCCTACCTTTTCCTAGTACTCCTTGTCATAGCTTTCATGTTTCTAACTGGGAGCACTGAGATGACCCCTTCAAATGATCAAGACCTCAAAATTTATTAATGACCTGAGAATTTCTTAAATAATCAGGACAAGACAGCACTTGGGCTATTTTTAACCCAAGGCCACACTGTACTCTAGATGTAGAAATCATCCCATATTCTGTTTCTCATCTTATCTCATCTCGCACTGAGTTGAGTTGTCCAGCCAAACTTAGAAATAGGTGCATAATTTGTGTGAAGTATCAGTCCAGCCCCAACCACACAGTGCCAGAAATGTTAAATGGACCCCATATTTTCAGAATCGCAGCGGTCAAGAGGGTACATAGGACTAATACGGCATCAGCCTCACATCCATAAAACCAAGAAAACGAAATTACTACAGCTATGCATTACAGAATAATTTGCCAGTTCCCTTATTCAGTTCTATGTCCAACCAAAAGTAATATTTCCATATCCCAAATTTAGGGAGGGAAAGGAATGGACAAATAAAACGGAAGAGAGAAGAGGACCTCCATTTGAACTTCACCAGAGTGTTAGTCAATTAATGGCAATTGTCCAGTTCCCAATACAAACTTTAAGCTCACAAGGCCAAAGATTCCCATCAAGAAAGTTAATTGTCCTGCAATGTGCTCCTTTCAGAATATTGCAGAAGCCAAATTTTCTTAGCTGCCTGTGGGTTCTACCCAAGCCTGTGACCTAGGACACCCGGTGAGAAAAAACGTGGTCCTGTTCTCTGCTTCTCTTAAATCTTACCCATATATCCCTTTCCTCCACACATTCTCCTCCTATCATAGATCTTGACTTCCACTGGACAAACGTGCCAGCCTCTTGGTCCAAGCTAAGATGAAAGAGAAAACAAAATGGAGTGCCACCCACAAGAGCCTGCCACTTTCAGACAGTGCCTACCTAAGCCCTAGAAATGAAAAGCACCACCAGATTCTACAAACCAGAGGAATGACAAAAATGCAAGAGCTTTGCCTTTCCCAAGTGAAAGTACTTCCCACAAGAAATGCAGCTGCCCCTGTCATCTTGAGTCCCCAAATCCTATCCCAGCAAATACCAGATCCTGCCAGCTCCACATGAGATGTTGACCTATAGATCTCAGCTGGTTGTGCAGTTGGAAGAACCCCATTCTCTCCATGTGGGATTTGGTCTCATAAATTCCAGCCCTACAAACATGACAGCCTTTTTAGTGCAAAGTGACTTGCTCTCCCCACAGAACTATACCTATTAAAATTGCAGTTTGAGATCGCAGACAAACCTGACCAACAAATGAATCCCATTATCTAGTAAAATTATTCTCAATGCTGGGTACACAATAGAATCACCTAGGAGCCTTCAAAACAAACAAGCAAATAAAAAAAACCCGATGTGGGAGCTATATCCCCCCAAAATTCTACTTATTACTGATCTCCAGTGGGTCTGGGTATCACTGTTTAATAAAAGCACCCAGATGAGTCTGACGGCTCCATAACCACTGGTCCAATATGACATCCTGCCACTTCTGCCAAGGATATTGCTCAGTGAGTCTAGGTTTGTGATTTCTGTTTGATGTCAGGCCTCTCCCAAAGCTGCAGTTGCAGGCTACTCTAGATCCTTAATCACCAAAGTCCAGTACCCTGTATGTTAACACCCTAAAGCTGCCAAAGCCAGATGAAGAGTAAAAGATGGGTGAAACCCTGAACTCTACATGCCTGGTTCTCCTCTGTTCCACCACCTGTCTTCTCCGTGAGCGACGTGCTTTGTTCACACAGTGGAAACCACCCCTGGACATTCACAGCCCTTTCCTTCCTCCCTAACCCGTCAGACTATACCCACAGAGAACAGCATCCAATCCACAATTGTGGCCATCACATCTGGCTTCCCATTCCCTTCAGGCATCAATAAAAGAGGGATGGGGAGGGGGGAACATCTCCCTTAAGCCCTGTTAAATTCAGAGGTACCCCAAACTTCTACTTGTGTAATCACCCTACTACTTGATGTTGTTTGTCACTATCTCCTCCACTGATCTATAAGCACTGCAAAAACTGCAACAGTGCCTGGTACTCAGTAGGTGCTCACTAAAATGTTTGATGGATGAATGAATGAATGAAGAGGAACCGCTGCCATGGTAGGAGTGGAAAAGATGCAGTCATGCCTTCACTGTTAGGCCCACCATTTAACACGGGTAATTGCAGCCACAAGCAGAGCAGAACTCACAATCCTAACCTGAAAACTCAACGTTGGCACTTTTTCTTTACTTAAGCACAGCCTTGCTTTTCAAGGCACCAAAACATTTGCTATCTCCTTGTATTCTGCTTCTACTTTTCTTAGACCTCCCACACAGCAACATCCTAATTGTTCCAAAGTGCTCTGTTCTGTCTGCTTTGCCTTTACCATTTCCAGCTCAACAGCAGCCTAGTTGTCATGTCCCTCCTTAAAATAACCATGGGAACTCTTTCTAGCTCTACAGTGTAGTTTCAGAGAGATTAAGTTAAATGTACAGTAGTAAGTCCTTCCTTTCTTGCTTTCTGACTTCCACAGTGTTTTGAAAGTACTGAATGCTAAGACTGCTTATCCACAAGATTTTTTTCAATAATGGTATGTTTATCTCAGAGTTCCAGCTTACATGTTAATTGTATTGCTACATGTGGGAGAATGAAGCAAAGATGTTTCGGTAATCATATGGTACCAGGGACTGTGCTGCCTGCACTTGACTCAGAGCAGATGAATCTAGCACCTCTGCTCTTATGGACCGAGAAATAAGCAAGAACAGCATGAAGACCAGCTCACAGTAGCAGTCTAGCTCACTTGATATCTTTTGAAATACAGATGCACTGTTTTTCTTCAGTATTAATTACTATTAAAGATACTTTCAGGTGGCTAAAAGAGTATAGGATCTGAAATGTTAATAGCCATTGAATCTATTGAAGCACTGCAGGGAATGATGGAAAAAATCAGTGGCATCAGCAGTATTAAGATCCATTTCTGTGAGTAGTTTTGAAGATTGTTAAAGCAATATCTATTCCACCTACTTACTGATACCTCTATCTTGTTGGCTGTAGGTGGTATGTTTCAAAATATTGTACTCGGGAAAAAAAAAATATTGTACTCGGACTACCTGCTGTAGAATCATCTAGTGGTGTTTGTTTAAAACAACCACCACCACCACAACAAAAACACATTCTTGAGCCCCAGATCAATAAAGCAGAATCTTTGGGGTTGAGGCCTTGAACTTATCCTGACCAAAACATTCAGCCTTTGGACCATAAAGTCTAGATTGCTTGCTTGAGACTTCCCCAACTGTTAAGCTTCAAATACTCCCAATAGCACTGTCAGCAGGTATTCTTTTTTCTTGAGGGATCTGAGGTCAGGTTATGACAAAGTAATTGAAAAGAACGTGAAGGCATAAGTACTCAAGGAGGAAGAAGAGAATACCACCAAGGGGAGGGAATGGAAATAGAAAGCCAGAGTCCAAGACAATCCTTCTTTCCTTCATCCTTTGCCCGGGTTATATGTCCTATGTCTTGGTGTAGTTCAGTCCAACAAGCATATATTGAGCCCCTGCCATGTGCCAGGCACTAGGGATAAAAAGAAACAGAACAGGTTCACTGTCCTAGGGGAGTTTACAGTTTGGTAGAGGAAGCAGGCTCTTAAATGAGCAATTTAAATAAACACACTAGGCAAAAGACAGAGATTTGCCCAAGGAACTTTAGGGGCTAAGAAGAGGGGTTTGTAATGGAGACTTAGCATGTAGAGAAGAAATTGCCTGAGTGGGGAAATAAGTAGAAATTAGGCAGGTGGGGGTAGGTGGGGGGCTTTTGAGGAGGAACTAAAGGGAATCCAGGAGCTGGTGGGAAATGGTGCATGTTCCCAACAAAGGGCAACCTGCACAACCAAAATGCTCTGAATCCTAAAGTGATCTCATTTCTATCGGGATTGACAAGCAGCTCAGGACTGCTTTATCATAAGGTCAAAGGAATGGAGAAAGATAACCAGTGATCCTGGATAGGCAGACATGGGCCAAGTCAGAAGGTGTATGTATGTCTTGTTAACTTTTCAAAGTCCTATTTTGCTAGCCATCTAGAAGACCTCTTAGATCAATCCTTCAAATTCATTCCAAGTTTATGGTCTCAAACTGTTGATTGAAGTTGCTCCAGAAACACGTTACAAGTTTATGGGCCCTCTCTGGGACATTATACAAGAATTGAAATAACTAATAAATAGACAGAAATATCAAAAATTATTCAGTATAGGGGCGCCTGGGGGGCTCAGTTGGTTGGGCATCTGCCTTCAGCCCCGGTCATGATCCTGGAGTCCTGGAATCGAGCCCTGCATCGGGTTCCCTGCCCAGGGGAGAGCCTGCTTCTCCCTCTCCCTCTGCTGCTCCCCCTGCTTATGCTCTCTCTCTGTCAAATAAATAAAATCTTTAAAACAAAAGTTGTTCAATATAGATTTGAGAATGTTTTAACTATCACTGGAAGGATACATGAAAAACAGTAATATTAATGACCTCTGGAGAGGGAAACTGAGAAGAGAGGTAGGAGGAATTTATATCTCATGGTATACCTTTTGTACTATTTGAATAATTACCATGTATATTTATTGCCTATTCCAACAAGTTTAAAAGAGAAGTAAAGAGACACATTTATTTCATAGCGTAAAGAAGCTGTCAACATGTTAAATGGTGATTTGATTTATATTGAAAACCCAGTTAATGATTCATTGATACAACAGTGACAGTAATAGTATTATTAAAGTAGTTTTGTCCTTCACAGCTTGGGAAAAAAATGGGTTTGTAGAAATAGATTTTGTATATCTTCTATAAATTTGGCCTTTTTTATCTTTTCAGTTTGCAGCTCATCTTGTGAAGATGAAATATCCAAGAATCTGCATTCTAGACGGTGGCATTAATAAGATCAAGCCAACAGGTCTCCTCACCGTCCCATCTCCTCAAATATGAAGAACCAAGACTGTGACTGTGCCTGTGAAAAGGATAGAGTGATATCAGCCCCCAACAGCCCACCTCTTCACAGCCTCACCACTCTGAGACAGAGCTAGACTTCCAGATTGTTGCATTTTCATAAAGTTTTGTCATGAAACATTTTTTTTAATCTCATAACCCACATGTTCAACCATCCAGGCAACAAACTTGACTGTACATGTATTGCTGAAAGAATTTCCTTAACAGTGAAATCCGATCATGTATTTTTACCACAGTGCAACACAAAGCCAGAGGAATTCAGCTGACAAGGCAGATTTAGCATTATCAAGAAATCTCAGTTGCACTGAAAAAGCTGTCTCCCATTGCACCGAACAGACAGTCCTAACAAAGGTATTATTTAGAAACATAGACTGAATGGGGGTTGAAATCATCTTTCTATGATAGTGAAAATCAAAAAGCTATTCTCAATGTATTCCTTGTAAGTAAATGCTATATTTGGCAACTCATTTTGGCCCAGACAGATCATGTGCGTGCGTGCGTGCGTGCGTGTGTATGTGTGTGTGGTTTGTTTAGGAGAAGAATTTAGCCCACTGAAAAAAGTAATAAATAATTTACTTCCAGAAAAATGAAGTCAGAAACCATTCACATTAGATAGAACATTTGTTCAGCTCCTATGTCAGAGAAACCCAAAATAAGACTGACTTAAACAAACTAGAACTGTATTTCTCACATAAAAGTCTGCATAATGAGTCTAGGGCTAGTATACTGATTTCATAATCATTAAGAACTGAGGTATCTTCGCATTGTTTTACCACCCTCAATACATGGTTTCTATCTCATGGATCAAGATGGCTGCTCAGCTCATACCATCATATATGCCATTTGGAAGGAAGGGAATGAAGGAGGAGGGAGGTGTTGGGGGGAAGGAAAGAAATCGGGAATGGAACAAATAAGAAAGAGAAGGAAGAGAATGCTCTTTCTCTTTAAGGGCACAAACCAGAAGTTGCACATATTATTTCTGCTTATATAACATCAGCCAGAACTTAGACATGTGGCTACACCTAGTTATAAGGGAAACTGGGAATATAATCTTTGGCTGGGAGGTCATTTACCCAGGTAAAAAATTGTATTATTATTTTTTAAAGTTTTAATTATTTAAAAACTTCATTAAACATTATTAAAATTTATTACTGTGTGGGAAGAGGAGAACACATATTGAAGGATAACCAGCAACCTCTGCCACATTATTCTAAAAATTAAGTACTCTACTTCACTGAATCTCACACATACCACAATTTTATGAACCATAAAGAAAAAAAATGCAACCAAATCAACTGGAAATACCATCAATTATAAGATGCATTCCCATTTCAGAAATGTGAAAAAATACGTATCTTAGAATTATTGAATTATAGTTCCTTTCTTGACTTAAATTTTAACTAAACAGTGTTGTTGTTTTTCCTCTTTAACTTATATTCCTCTTCAGTGTTAGGAACAACAACTACGTTGTTGTTTTTCCTCTTTAACTTATATTCCTCTTCAGTGTAGAACATTTCCATAAGAGCCTCAATTCAACTCTCTGGCTCTGGTTTTATTGTTGCTATTTGTTTTGTTTTGTTTTTTACATCTACTTTTTTATTGAGATACAATTTACATACCATAAAATTCATCCTTTTAAAACATACAATTCAGTGGTTTTTAGTATATTCAGAATCATCATCACTACTGTCTAATTCCAGAACATTTTTATTCTCCAAAAAAGAATCCTGTAACTATTAGCAGTCATTCCCCATTAATCCCTCACAAGGTCTTTGATTTAATGTTTATGTATGACATGGGATATGTATCCAACCTCATTCTTGCATGTGGATTGCAAGTTGTCCCAGAGGCTGTGACATTTTATTTGTTTTGCTTTAATTGAATTGTATTTAGTCATTCACCAAATATGTTTTAAATACCTATTAGATGTAAGACATTGACATAACTAGTGATTATATCATTCTGTGACCCCTACATCATATACAAAGAAAAAATGTTTGAGAATAATAAAATTTTACCACCGTTTTCCTAATAGTATTTTGAGGTCATCATGTGCCATGGTAAGAGAAATATTATTAAGTCCTCCTGTCCTTTCCTGCAACCTTTGGTGACTTATCTGACTTCATAGTCCTAACGTGTACTGATGATCACTTGGAAGGAGTGGTTCCAAGTTCTAAGTTTGAAAGTTTGAAAGCAGAGAAGGATGAGGGGTGGGGATATGATTTGAATGAATTGGTAGGGCAGTAGGGGAAGATGAAGACCTGGGTACTGAGGAGAGCTGTGTGAGAAGGGTATTGAGGAGAGCTGTGTGAGAAGATAATAGTAGCCAACCAATCACAATTTTGCATTTGATCTTTCTTAAAACTTGATACATTTAGGCTTACTTTTTTAAATGAGTTTTTTAACCATTCAAATTATGATTATTTAATATTCTCAACAGTAAAATAAGAAAGAACACACAATCACTGCCATGTTTACATTCTGGACATGATATTTGGTGGCAGATAGTTTCAACAAAGTTGACATCAACAACTATTTGTTGCCCTGAACTTACATGACCCATGACTATAGAAGTCCTTGGGACTATATCATTGACTCCTACATTATCACTATCAGCACTATTTGTTTCTGGCATCAGCAGTCTCTTTCCCTCTGTCTGGAATGTCCATACTACCACCACCAGCCCCACAGATACACACACACACACACACACACACACACACACACACACACACACACAAATCCTTTAAACTCCACCAGTAACATCTCCAGTCATCTCAGTCTTTCCCATGCTGCATGAAAAGCCTCAACTACCAAAGCATTCCATTCATACTTCTAATAATAGACTTACTACATCATTTGGCAATTATCTGTTCACATTTGGGACCCATATTAAAATATGAGACCCTTGAGATCAAAGACCATAATTTATACTTCTTTTTGTATTCAACAACCTACTACACTGGAGATGCTTGTCAAGTGCAAAATTGAATTGGATCTCTAAGGGATTTTAGAATCTATATGGATAGAAAAAAAACAGGTCATTTTTTCAAATGCCAACTTATCTGGTACCTGGTGATATATAAATAAATCGAAATTGTAATTCACTGAAGAAAATATCTCTAATGTTCTACGTAGCTCTAAAATTCTATAGTTCGATAAGTTGGAACAAATAACTTCCAACAACACAGTAAACTAAGCTAGTTGCATTCCCTTTCCAAAGCATAAAAATGCTAATTGAAAAGAATATTAAAAATGTCTTCATACTTAACCAAGTTTGAAGGAAATAAACAAATTCCTTGATGTCACATCTGAAGAGGAACTGAAACACTGTCAGGCACATGGGCTATCAGCTATCAGTACAGCCCCTGGGAACTGTGGTTTTAACATAGGGTTAAAAGACACACATGAGCATTATTAGGATTATTAGGATAGTGGCACTAATAATTTGGAAGTATTAAATTATTTTACCATTCCCACAATTCTTTGTCCTAAAGATTAAATTGCTTTTGAAATCATTTACTTGAAATAATATATTTTTGAATAAAATGCCTGTCTCTGCAAAAAAAAAAAAAAAGACACAGCCTTGGCCTTCTGGTAGGGAGTTCGTATCAACTACTTTACACAGTGACAGTCTCAAAGAACTCTTTGCTCCATGAAGTGACTAGAAATAACCCCACCAAATCAAGGAGGGTACAGGGGAGATTGTCCTGGTGTTCTGAGTAAAGAAAGACAAATCTGTTGTAGACAGATGGAGGTGTTCAATGGAAATGCTGTAATAAGTCCCCAAATTAGAACAGGTTTTAAGGCATGTGTTCATCTGACTATTTAAAAATGAGAACAATAAATTAAATCAAACTTTTGGAAAACATAGATGGTGCCAGATCTTTGATTCCTTTTCCAAATAGTTACATAAAAATACAGCGGACCCTTGAACAACACAAGGGTTAGAGGCACCAACCCCTACACGGTCAAAAATCCTTTTACAACTTTTGCCTGCCTACTGTTGACCATAAGCCTGACCAATAACAGTCAAGTAACACGTATTTTGTCTATTATTATCAAGTAACACGTATTTTGTCTATGTATTAAATTCTGCATTCTTACAATAGAGTAAGCGAGCAAAAAGAAAACGTTAAGGAAATCATGAGGAAGAGAAAATACATTTATAGTACTGTACTGTATTTATTGAAAAAGATCCACATGTCAGTGGACCTGCACAGTTCAAACCTGTGTTGTTCAAGGGTCAATTGTACTTCTTGATAGATTAATATCAAAAGTATGGTACAGCCTCTCTAAAAGATCTTATGCAGTAGTGTCATCTGGTAAAACCCACTCTCACTGCTGTGAGTGCTATAGAGTTGGTGGATGTTGGGCTGTAGCAGAGTCACAAACCATCCGCTCATGGGTATACGTGATGGCTCCATATACGCCTACTGTTAACCAAATAATTCACTTTCCTTGGTAAACATTCATGAAGCCAAAGAGTGGAAACAAAACAAGAATATTTATGATAGATTTTTGTTTGGGTGTTCAATCTCAAGGCCAAATACCCTTCACAACTACCACCTTAGATTTTATGTGGAAAAATAACGGAGAAGTGTTACAAACCTTCAGTGTCTGACACTAGCATTTGCTCACACACAAACTTTAGGTTTTCTAAACCAGTTTTATCTCATTTAATGTTAGAAATGGTACGCCTTATAAATAAGCCATTTTAAAAGTTAGCCATATTTTTTTAAGTTGCATGTATTTATATCTTTTCTGAGTAATTTTCTTGTTAATGTCTTATGATAGATGCTTGTCACATGAAGACTAAAATTGGATCTTGGCAAATTCAGTATTCTTTAGATAGATTCTGATATTTGTAACTTCTACCATGACTTCCAGGCCTCATGTCTCCTTGGGTTGACATTCCTTAATATTTTTTTCTCCTCCTTTCAGAGGACACATTTTTAGTTTGCATTCTCTACAGCACTGCAATAATACTGTTCTGTTCTAATGCTCACTGTCACCAGTAAACAGTGCATGGATGAGTACCAAGGTACCGTATTGCCAACATTCCTGGATATTATATATTAATCCTCTGGGTGGTGGAGGTTAAAACACTGTCCTGTCTTGGCTTAAGACTAATCTTGGAGCTATAACAAATGCATTTAAAGCATTAGATCAGACTCTAAATATTGCATCCTATCACTCTAAAAGACAGCTTTTGAAACTATTACTATCTTTATATAGAAATGTGACTTTTTAAAAAACAGTACATGACCTACCATTCTTTTGAAAAAGTGTAATAGTGTGATCACTAGGTAAAGCATTAAAACCTGACAATTAACTCTGGAAATTTATTCTTCTCATTCTTATTACTTTTTTTCTCTATTAGCATACTTTTCAATCCTTTAAGGTAGAATAACTTATTATTTTAAGGCTTATAGTGTGCTGGAACTGGCTCCTAGTGGCTTGGGAC